TAATATAGCTTCTATACATATTTGTACATGTAGGTATATAACGACCTCGTCGACACAAATATGATCATAAAAATAAGGCGGCGGCTGCTTCGGCCGTGCCTGTAAGAGGGCCAACCCATGCCGAGAGGAAAGGGATACAAACAATGTCCTTGGGGACAGACGGGGATACTTGGTTAAAAAAAACAACCAACATCCCTACTCAGGAATTAACTTTGTGTGCGACGGTGAAGCGATGGGGGACAGTGATGATTGAGGAAACGATCCCCTGATCAGATAGAACGTGAACGTTGATTATAATGTAAAGATAAGGCTTCTCGCAGCCACACGCACACGACATGAGTTCAATTGCCGTCTGGGAAAGCATTTCTTTTCTTTTCTTTTCTTTTTTTCAGCCCTTGTTGGCACTGACAGGCAGATTTGGACTAGCCTGTCTCCTATGTGATCTAAACTGCGTCAGTGGGGCGTTATGCTTTTGCAGTTACATTAAGAAGAGTTGCAAAAATTGCGCACATTTTATAGGTATGGATTTTAAACCGTACAATACGGAGACCCAATAAGACTTTTCTGTCTCACAGGTAGTACACAGCTCGGTACACCGATCTAGCAAGGCAATGTCTGTCTCAGGATACGGAGATCAGTGCAGAAACATGCCACGTACCAGAAACCATTCACGTCTAGATCTTATTATTTTTTTTATTAAACAACTTTTTTTTCCTAAGTTATAGATCGATCAACCAAATTATGACGTCACATCTTTTGGACCTTTTTTGTTCGAAACTGATCACACATTTACGGAAAAAAGATATATTATACATGTTCTCTGTGATTACCAAGCATTGTTCTGCTTAACTTTACCATGGGCATAAAAATGATATGAGACAACTGAAATGGGGAGAAGTAAAATAATTTATACCCCCTCAGCAACCCGCACCCCCCCCCCTCCCCCCCAATCTCGAACTGTATGACCATTCTAATGCCATGGGGATTCACAGATGTGTCTTAGGTATCAGCTATCACTAATCAGGGAAAAAACGGGGTGATTGTCTTAATGCACTAATACGTGTGTGTGTGTGTGTGTGTGTGTGTGTGTGTGTGTGTGTGTGTGTGTGTGTGTGTGTGTGTGTGTGTGTGTGTGTGTGTGCGTGTATGTGTGGGGGTTGGGTGGAGGGGAGGTGTTTCATCATCATTCGGTGCCTTGCCGACTGGTGTGGGCGATCATGGACCTCCACTTCACGCTGCAGCGATGGTGTCTGTCGTTCTTGCTGTTCCCAGCCATGTTGTCAACTTGTCCAGTATCTTAATTTCCTCTGTCTTCCCCTGCTTCTCTTTCCATCAAACGTGCCTGTTATTACAATATATATATAAGCTCCAATGCTTCTTGATGACGATCTTGTGTCACCTGCTTCTCATGACTGACCCTACCGGACGAGGCAGCTCTTACAGAACTCCCCTTTCCGTCGTTATCTTCGTTCATTGTGTGTTGATCCATGACGTTCTTGGAAAGAAATACAGCAGTGGTTTCCCCTTGCCTTCTGCTGGATTTTTGCACGGCTTACCCCGCTAGCCTTTCGTCAGGACTAACCCACATGCACAAGGTAGTGGGGGCAGGTGGCAGGTTTCGGCGCCTCCCTCTCGCTTGACAGTCCCTTTACTGAGCATATGGGGCATTTTGGAGGTATTTAGGGGTTGTTAAACTTTATTTTTACATCGAAATAGTTTTTGTTTACATTCTCCTCGCTGCTCCACGTGAGTTCATGAGGCAGTTGTCGGTCTCAAGCGCTCCTTTTTCCGCTTCTGACCAGGTCTAAGATGCGAAAGACATCTTTGAAAACTTTTTTTTCAAATTCCATTGGTCAATCTATGTTTTTGACATAGTGTTGGTCTCAAAAGACATTCTGAATATGGATGGGGCGAGGGGGGATGTTTCGCAGTTTTCTCAGACAGCGATAGATAATAAAGAGTGAGGGTTGGGGGTGGGGGTGGGGGGGTCTCAGCTTTCACAAAAAGCCATAGAGAACAAGAGGAGGGGGGGGGGGTAAATTCATTCACATTGACGTGGGCAGTCTCTGGTTTAGGGAGCAGTGATGTTCTCTCTCAGAAGACGGTACTAAAAGTGGGTAAACACCTCACAGTTTCACCAACATTGTCTGATCAAAATTTGTCGAAAGAGCTGCAATGACTCAAACAATCAAACAAACGAACTGGAAGGGTCTGAGAATGCTATTACTACTTTCATTTTCTTGTACAGTTCAGTAAATTTGCCTGGGTCAGTGGTGAGTGCCATGGTGTAGTGCCTAGATACGATCTCTGCTGTTGCAAGCAAAGGACGTGAATTTGATTCACGCAAGGGAACATCAGTTGCATCTAGTGCATCGTCGTCTGTTTCCTGCTGTATCCCATTCAGCGCGGGTTGGTCTTTACGCATATATAGTGTCGATGCAGCCCGACTCCTAAATGATACAAACGATTTATATGGGGCGTTAAACGTCTACTATCAATCCATTGTCATGTTAAACATAATGTTGCAGCGTGACGTTTCCTGGATAAGGGATTTCGCCAGGAAGAAGAATTTGTACAGTTTTAAAAAGGATTTTCCCCATTTTTTGAAAAGCTTTTTAAGAATGCTATTTAGATCCGACGTCTGTGGAGGAGCAGTTCGGCGCTTCATTGTTATTAGTGGAAGGTATGAGTTCGATTCCCGTGTTTGGAAAATTTTGTCGAGTATCTTAGTCTTTCTGTTTTGATGTCTTAGATCTATCCCCCTCAGCCCGTGTTGGTCCTGACAGGCTAGGTTGAAGCATTCCACTTCCAGGATGATCTAAATTGTGTTGATAAATTTAAAAAATCAGAGATATCTGCCCCCTCTCAAAAAAATACATTAAAAAAATCTAAATTACAAAATCAGGGGAAAGCTCATCGTATGTCAAATTATATCAAAGTACGTTAAGTTAAGACAACAAAATCAATAATTTTAACACGTGACCATTATCATAAATGTCAGGTAGGTGCAAGACATGTCAAAAATATTCAATGACTTTTACTTTCTGTTGAATATGAACGTCAACTCTATCAGGTCATAGCAAATGTCATGATAAGTTGATCAAAACAGCACATAGTATAGTCTGAAGGGTTGCTGTTTGCGAAGTGGTATCTGGCTAATCTTGTGTGTCGTGGTGACACTCAGACGGCTCATGTGTCTCTGCTCTTTAAAAATTTTTGTTAGAGGGCTGTGAAGTCGGTGGGGGTGGATGAAAAAGAGAGAGAGAGACAGAGAGAGAGAGAGAGAAAGAGAGAGAGAGAAAGAGAGAGAGAGAGAGAGAGAGAGAGAGAGA